TTTAAATGTGAAACATTTTTCTTAACTCAGTTATTATACTTTAAATATAGAAAAGAAAAATGTTTCAATACTTACAGAACTTCATCACAAAAGAAGCAATCATTGCCATAAGTTTTGCCATCAGATCCACAAACTGGTTCATATACTGTATAACACAGTCCTGGTGGTAGGTGTTTATACTGACTACAATCAATCTGAAAATAGATATTAAAAATCTTCAGTTCCTTCTACCAAATTTTTATTCCCAGGATTTAGAATTTTCTAAGTAGGTTTAGAAGGCTCTCAATGCATTCATTTTGTATTCTAGTTGTCTGTCCTCATCTAACTTCTTTGAAATACATCAAATATAGAGATGTTTTATATAAGATATAAAATCATGAGTGGTAGCTGGTAATTAAATCACCATTTATTCAATGTAGAACCCACCCATAGTAGTTAGTGCTGGCTGATGTGTCAGTTCTTAATCCTTATGGTACATTTGGTTTCCTGCTTTCTCTCTTTCACTTAAAATGTTCTAAATGAATGAAAGTGTGAGATGTATTATAGAAATACTGTCGTTTTAATAACTAGTACACCATTGACAACTTTAAGTATTGGTAACAAATGACTTGCTGTACACATCATCAGCACATAGACAGATTTATGTTAACACTAGAGGCCTGATGCACGAAATTCATGCAAGAGAGGCCTTCTTCCCCAAGCGGCTGGCATTGGCTTCCCGCTGCCTGCTGGCAGGTACCCAGGTCCCAGGCTTCCCTCACAGCCCTGGCTTCGTCCAGAAGGTTGTCTGGTCTAATTTGCATATTACGATAGACTGTAGTTGATAACCACTGTGTTCCTGGAGCAAAGCCATGGGAATGAGCCACTTGTGGGAGCAAGTACACACCTGCTAAGCAAGAATTTCCTGGGTTTCTCATCTATGAGCAAATTGAAAAGTGTGGACAGAAAAATCAAACACATTGGAATTCAAATCCTGACTCTCTGAACCTGGGACAATTCTTTCGCCTCTCTGAGCCTTAGTTTTTTTAGCTGCAAAATGAAGGTGATGTACCTACATTGTCAGATTAAGTAACAAATGCATACCTGCGCAGATGTGTGTGAAATACTTAGCACTACACAACACGGAAAACACTGAATAAATAATAGCTATAATTTCTCTCCCTAAGCTTCCCTTCCAGGTCTGCACAAACTCCAGTTCTATATAGAAGACTGCATTCCCAGCTCTTTCTGCCCAAGAGTTCCAGACATTATATTTTACTTATTGTTTAATGTTTCTACTTGGATAACCTGAAATATGCTCAAAGTTAAAGTTGAATTCCTTCTCCTCTTCAGATATGTTCTAGGAGTGAACTTGGTCATTCCTCTAGTCACTGAGCCCTAGTCTTAGAGCTGAGCTGAGTGCTGGAAATACAAATAGTAAGCATGCTTTGACAGCAGAAGAACCTCAAGTCTAGTGGAGCAGAACAGAAAGTGTAGCGCCCCATGCTGAGGACACACAAGCATGATTTCACTTCCTCTCCTTGCCTGCTCATCTCCCAGTGCCAGAATTGGTGTGATGGTTAAATAGTGACCAGGAAATGACCAAGGCTTAATGCTCATTCATCCCTGTCATTCTCACACAGCTACTAAGTCGTGAAGGATGGCTTGAATTCAGGCCTGCCTGACTCCAAACTTATGTTCTTAACATCATTTTATTTATACGTTTAAAAAGACTCAAAGACGTGGAATGTTTTGCTTAGGCCACAGGGTCACACCACTAAAAAGCTGGAGAGGTTGGATTAGAACCCATAGTGCCTGGCTGCTGGTTTAAAGTTTTTGTAGTCACACCTACATTTTCTCAATAACAGTAATTACTTAATATGAGCCATGAAGGAAAGCTTCACATAAGCCAAAATGTTCATTTTTTAAGTCAGAGAACAAAGAGACGTGTGGACCACTTGAAAATGGTAAGAATCAGGACTTGTCCTTACTGAGCTTTCCTATGCGTGGGTACTGTGCTAAATCTTTCCAAGCACTAGGGCTGTAAGTGTCACCTGATCAAAGACTTGGGACTGAAACCCAGATGCTGGTATCTAACCATTTCCCCCCCCATCACCTCCATTTCAGAAAGGTCTGTGTACAGTTTTTGAATAAAAGCAGTTTTGAAACTTTAAAAAATAACTGTTCAAATGGATAGAAATGTAATTCTGTACAATGTCAAGCTTTCCTTACTGATACAGGCATTAAAATTACATAAAAGTAGCACTTTCAAAGCAAGACGGATGTACTGACCTGTTTTCCAGGTTGGGCATATACTACATCTGTAAGAAAAACAAGTACAAGAAAAAATTAATCTCTGGAAGAATCTAATCTCATTAGAAAAATAATATTTGATTTATGTTTCAGCTTTCTCAACCTGTCATGAAAAGTATAAGATTCTCTGCAGAACTTTTGTATCAGCATATCAAAAGTTGACGCACAAAACAGATTTTTGTTTTAGAGCAGAATTAGAGTGCAGTCAAAAGCATGGACAAGCTGCTATAATAATGAGTCTTGTTTCTTCCTATCACCATCAGAGTTTAGGAAATAGTAAGAGAAAACAATGGAGTTTTCTTTTTAGGAATTGTCTGCTCTTTCTTAGCAGGCAGAGATGGCAGGGGTTGAGAATTCTAGGGAGTCAGATCTTAACTCAATAGTGTAAGGAAAGTAACAGTTCATGCTGCCCAACAATGGGTTGGACTGCTTCATGAAGAAATCAGTCCCTGTAAATACTGATATGAAGTCAGAGGAGAGTCTGGATGAACACTTTCCAAAGCGGTTATACAAAATGAACTTGGTCTCAGTTGACCATTTATGTCCAACTCAATGCCTGAGATGATATGATTTAATGATGTATTGGTAGAGACCAAAGAAATGTGCCTTTTCAAATACTTCCCTTATTATCTATGTGAAATGTATACCCCAGAATTATGTGGGCAGAAGATGACTGGAGCTATTGGTATCAAGGGAGGGGCAGTGTTATGAGGGAGATACTCACAGATTAGTGCCAGGGCCAAGAGCAGGAAAAAGGCTGTCATTCTCATGCTGCTGAAGAGGAGAAGGGCAGTCAGATGGAGGCAAAAGAAGTGACTTTCTGGTGTCTGCCCAGCCACTTGCGTGCTGCTTTTATATTGTCAAGAGTTCCTGCCTCGATTGTGAAACACCTATTTGCAGGATCAGAATCCTGGGAGGTCAGAATCATCTGCCGGGTATGGAAGTTCTTTTATTGTGAAAGACAGATGAATTTACATGACCGTTTAATAGATGATAGGACCGGATAAAGCTGGCATTATTTCCTTGTCTCTTTATATTCTTAAAAGTTTGAGTGCTTTCACATCTGTTACACAATTTGATCTTCATAACAAATCTGTGACATAGTTATTTTTTGTTCTACAGATGAGGAAGTGAAGTTACGTGGAGGTTAAGTGATTTCACTAGTTTTGTTGCATGTACTTGTACTACTCTTGCAAGAACTGTCATCAGCATGGCAGTTTATAGGTGTTGAAATATTCCCAGGATCTCCTCTTTCTTCTCTAGTGTCAATGGGAAATATTGCCAATTGAGACAGCAGAATGGGCACAGAGAAAATGTATCAACTGCCAATTCTTGATTAAGCATAAACAAGCAATGACTCATACCCTTTAGCAGGGAGATAATTTTTCCAAGTATCCTACATTTGGGGATCTGGTACAACTGCTGTTTCCTGAGTTGGTGGAAGCTGCTGGGGGAGCAAGTCAGGCAGCTGAGATTGAGTTTGATTTCAGATATGAGCATGTTAGGTGTTCAATATTCATTTTTACAAATTGAGAAATAGTGTTCAGAAATTAATTCCTGTGCATTTTTCAAGTTCTGTGCCTTTGTACTTGTTTTCTGTTTCCATGGAATTACCTGTCCCCTACCCAACCCACACACTCAGATGAATTACAACTCAAGGGGAGGCTTCTTCAACACCCTAGGCAGAATTAGACTCAACTTCCTCTATGGTCCCAGAGCAGTTGGTAATGCTTATGACATACTAACCATGAATCAAGCACTATACTAATTACTGGGTATATAGAAATGTACATATAGTCCTGCCCTCAAGGAGTTTACAATCAGATAAGGACAGAAGAACACTACCACCAACTATTCAGGACAATTTAAATACAATGTAATACAAGATGCAAGGAAACAACAGGTGAGCAAATGATGAGTAGTCAGGGAAAGGCTTTAATATTTATTGTGTATATCTTGTAGGGTGCTTTGTGTTATTTCACTTAATCACAACAATAACCCCATTTGCCAAGCACAGGGTTTAGGTACCCACTCAAAGTTACACAGCTTGCATGTGACAGAACTAGTTTACAAAGTAACTGCTGACTCCTCAGCCACTTCTCTGCCAAACCAAATTCAGAGAAGGTTTCACAGGAGGGCTACATTTGAGCTGAAACCAGAAAAGTAGCAGCCATTTCCAGCAAAGAAAACTGTGCATGAACAGACACAGGGCCAGGAAAGAGGTTTGTGAGAGACAGTGTCCTTCAGAGATCATGGGAGAAGAAGAAGCTGGGTGGGTAACACCATGCTTAGGAGTCTGGATTCTATACCATAGACAATGGGTAACAGATGAAGGGTATTGAAGAGAGAAATAATAGAATGAGATTTACACTATAGAAAGATTATTCCAATATGGTACCTAGTAATGACTAATATCGCAGCATTTATAAGTGTGTATAATTATTTTTTAATTCTTGTTTATCTCCCCATCTAGATTTTGACCTTTAATTGAACTGAACTCCATTTCATTCCATGTGTATGTGTTCTGTGTGTGTGTGTGTGTGTGTGTGTGTGTGTGTGTGTGTGTGTGTGTTTGCATTTATTCCTTGGCAGCCACTTGGGATTTATTGTACAAAACTTTCTCCTGAACAACCAAATATATATGTTCCTCAGTTTTCTTCAAAACTGAGATCTTATACCCCGATTTAAGACACAAATAGAGACGGAAGTAAAGGTAAACTCTCTGGGGAGATTCTTTTAATGAGGTACAAAAAGAAGCCAGTAAGTCAGTTGGGCATGAGTTTGAAGGAAAGCACAACAACTTTCTCCACTCAACAAAGATGACTCCATATCTGCCCCTGCCCCCATCCTCCCCCGGCCCCATCCCCCAGAACCTGTGCCATGAGAAGGGAGAAGGTCATCAGAGCCCAGGGACGATGAAGATGACACAGGATATCATTGCTCCCCACCCATGTCTATGGAGAAGTTAACATCTTCCTTCGTGAAGAAACTGAACCTTTCCATCACTTTTCCTACAGGAAGACACAGGTAACAATTCATTAACACAAGAGGAAATTTTGCAAAATAATAGAGGTGAAAGGAACCAAAGAGATCTTGAGGCAGAACTTCATTTTGCAGGTGAAGCAATGGAGTCTCTGAAAGGAGTCCTTTTTAGAGGCAGAAGCAGAATTTCCCTAGGCTGGTGAATTCTCCACCCCACCTGCTGCTTCCACTGATCCCAGGGCCAAGGCTGGTCAACCAATGTCTTAAAACATCCAAGGAGGGATTCTGCCACAGGAAGTTGAAGTGCCTGCCCTTTAGCCTTTCCTGGTCAGCAGGACCTGCGATGGAGCTGGGTCCTGCTTTAGGAGGACAGCTTCCACCACACGTTCCCTCAGGGTCCTTGAATACAAGCTAGTCTCTAGGTCAAAGGCAGTGTGTGCATGTTAGAGAAGTGCCACTTTGGTGAAGCAAACATTCCTGCATAGGTGTAAATATGTAGACATATCCTTCTGGGCTTAGGGCTTAGGGCTTAACTTGATATTTTAACGTGTTAAGATAACCACAAGATGAAAAAGACAAGATCTAAAATAAGTGGCCAAAATACAGTGGGCTAAAAGAGAATTAACAATGAGCAAAGTGCACTTGCTGTAAAAACAGTAAATGCTAAGTTGCCTGTTCTACACCAAAGAAGTGACATCTTTCTAGTTGTTTTCCTTCAAGAACACTGTGCAGGACACACAAAATATGTAAAGAAATCATGCCCATGGGATCCAGGTCCAAGTGCTGACAGCCTGCATCCCCCTATTTTAAATATACTTTGATTCCAGAGAGGAAGGGAGAAGGAGTGAAAGAGAAACATCAACAATGATAGAGAATCATTGATTGGCTGCCTCCTACACGCCCCCTAGTGGGGATCTAGTTGGCAACCTTGGCATGTGTCCTTGACTGGAATCAAACCCTGGAATCTTAGTCTGCAGGCAAACACTCTACCCACTGGGCCAACCCCCTATTTTAGATAAAGAAAAAATATTTGTGGTAGCCATATTCCCTGTATCCCTCTTAAGACTACAGATATTTAGAGCCATGAGGAAACTGAGGAGGATAAAGGCCCTCTACCCACAGTTTATCTAAGGAACAAGCTGTGTTATGGACTTTCAGAAGTCATATAGGATAATAATTTTCAATTTTTTTGTCTGTATTGATTTGAGATAGAGAAACAGGTGTCTGAACAGAGAGATAGAAACATCAATGATGAGAGAGATTTATTGACTGGCTGCCTCTTGCATGCTCCCCTAATGGGGATTGAGCCTGAAACCTGGGCATGTACCCTGACTGGGAATTAAACTGGTGACCTCGGTGCATGGTGACCACATCAGCCAGGCTCAATTGTTTTTTAGTGTTGGGCTTGGGATCCTTTCTGCAAGCAAGATATTATATGGAACTCCACAACTGGAAATAGTCAAAAGCTGAACTTGGAGTTGGAGACCACCCCAGTTATCCTTTTAACACTTTAGGTGACTTCTGATTGCCTCTACAGTATCTCTGGACTCTGGGGCAGCAATTTGAAAACTCATGCTATTTTCGGACTTCAACTGAGAGATAGGAGTTGAGGTTCTGTAATGAATGGTTGAGCAAATAATGGAGGCCCATCCCTGGCCAGACTATGAGGTGGTCAGTTTTCTATTCACACCTGCTGCTTCTAGGTGGGACTAAGTACAGCTCACGGAGAGCTAAGCAGACTCATGGAAAGAAGAGAAGTTTGCAGTGGAGGGCACTGGCCCCAGCTTCTTCCCCCTCGCTGCCCCCATGAGGTACTCACAAGCTCTCAATGCACAAGTGGCATTCATTCCCATAGGTGATGTAGTCAGAACCACACACAGGCAGGTATGTGATGGGGCAAGGGATAGCCACCACTGGGTACTTCTTGTCAATGCTGCAGTCCACCTGTGACAGACACAAGGGAATGTTCTGCATTGCTCCTGGATCCCAGGCTAGGCTACCCTGGCCTGTATTGTACAGGAAGCAAAATACCAACCTAGAACTTCCAGCTCAGATATTCTGATGCTGGTGTCACTACTTTAAGCACTAATGTCACTATGACAAATACCAGTCACACTGGCACCACTTCTATTATGACTTGTGCATGCAGTTAACAATTCCTGAGCATTTCCAGGCCAGGCATTAAACTTAAATCTTAGAGAAATTTTGTTTAAACTTCAGAACAACTGAATAGAGTAGATTCTACTATTACCCCTATTGACAGGGTTGGGGGAGATGAAGGCTTGGAAGAGAGAATTTGTATAATATAAAAGCTAGGAAGTGGTGAGGTTGAGACCTGAATCTAGAGCCTGTGCAATTAAGCAAGATCCTACGTCTGAAATGTTGTCCTTTCCATTAAGACTTCACCAGTCTCTCAACTGGAAGTCTTCTCTCTCTTTTCTAACCTGGGAATAATTTTAAGTCTACGGTTATTTATGTCATCCTTCTTCAAACAGTAGAGGAGATTTTTTTATGTGTGTCTGCCTCCACATTTTACCACCCTAAACATACTGACTTAATGCTACATATATATTTGGTAATTATTTGTTGACTAAGTCAATAGTAACTGAAATGAAAATGTAATTCAATATACTCACAGTTCTTAAAGACAGACTAGCAGCTTCTGAAAGAGAAATAGAGATAGAAATGTTAACAGTAAAGCAAAGTCTTGAAGTCTCATTAATTAATGTCATTTTGATTCCAGAGATTAAGACTGTTTTCTCTTGGCAATAAGGCTCAGCATACACCCCATTCTTATGCAAAAATATTGGCTGTTTGCAAACATTCATTAGGTAAACCCTTGGTTCAGGCAAGAGAATTACCCAAATCTCCTCCCTTCCTTACCATGGGACACTTCTGGAGCTCATTGTGACATTGGTAGTGGTTTAAAGTCAGATCGCAACAGGCAGTATTACAGCCACCATTGCCAAGAACTGACACCATCTTGGATATTCTTCCCTTCTAATTGATATGAAGGGTTGCAATAACATTTTAAGGTGTTTACATCTTATTTTATTTCTTTAACCATAAAAAAGTCTAATTTTTGACTCTTGGCCTCTGGAGAATTGTACTTTATTGCAAACCTTCCGAATTGATTTAGGGAGGCATCCAAGTTGTTCTGCATCTTTGCTCAGAGGAATAGTATCCAATAACAGGAATACTATCCAATACTGTATAACAACTTCCAATGTTCTAATGAAGAAAAGAGTTCATTTCTTTGTTCCATGGATTTTTTCCCAAAAATCCTTGAATGGGAAGACACTAGAGCTAACCCCCCTACCCTCCCAATTCTATTAGGGACATAAGATTCTCCCTTCCCAGGCCAGGGCTGTTTCTTTTCTAAACCAGTATGCTTCTGATTCTAAACCCATATAGTTCAAATCCACACAAGCAGACACTTCTCTCAGATGGTCACCTCCTTGGAAAAACAAGCTTAATGGTTGTTCACTCTCTACCATTCCCTCACCTGAGCTGCTACAGAAGAAGGTCACTCTGAACAGCAGGAGGAGGCCCCCAATGATCTTCCTGGTGGAGGTCGCTGCTATGTAAAGGCTTCTCAAGCTGTCACAGCAGCTGTTTCAGCCATGAGGTCGGAAAGGGGCATGTTTATATGGCAATGTCTGGCTTCCCTGCCTCCCCTATGAAGTCATCCAGAGTCAATGCTGCCTTTGAGAGGCTCTCAAAACACAATGTCACACCCTGGGTGGTGTGGCAGTCCTTCTCACTTAATTGTTACTTCCTATCTGACCAACACATTAATTTTTTGAGGTGAGAACTATTTTTCTGTCTGTCCTAAAGATGGGGACTGTTAGAATTCTAAACCTCTTGTATTAGAAGAACTTGACTTGGCCTAGTTATGAAATAAGTGAAAATATCACAATTTCTTTAGTTCACAAACACCCAGATTTGACAGATCATACTTATGTTTATATTTTGGCTTCTGGGAAACTATAGTTTATATTTGAGGCAATAAACGTATGAAGCAAAAAGGGACCTAGTGGAAGGAACAGTGATTTTAGCATTTATGAAGTTTGGAGAAGAGTGTTGACATTTTCTAGCTGCGTGATCTTGGGTAAGTCATTTATGAAGCTACCAGGAACACCGGGTTATGTTGTGGTAACATATAACCCAAGGTGTATGTGGCTCAGAACAAATTATATTTTTTAATTAAGCTGAACATGTAAGGTGATCACCTAATGGTCCTGCATTATCTTCAACAGGTCCCAGGTGGGAGGAGTTATCACTATTTGGAATGTTGTTCATTGTCAAGTTTAAGTGTCAACTTGTTCTTGACTTTCTCCCTTTTGAGAAATTAAGTATTTCAGTCCAGAGGTGACACCACTGCCACTTCCCCTCACCACCAGGTGGGCTGCTCCAATCATAGAGGATGTGGAGTGTGTTGTTACCTTGTCCTTGGACAACCGGTGGGAGGAGAACTGAAAATAGTTTGCAAATGACACAGAATCTATCCGAGAACTTTAGCTGCATTTCATCTCGATTGGGAACTATTACTTGCCACAATAGAGTTCACATAATTGGTGTCATGTACGCGAAAATCCAAAGTGCAGTGCATGTAATTGTAATTGTGATGATGACGATGATTACTGATGAGTCAAGGGTTTCTGCTACAGGTTTCTGACATTAGCTTATAAACTGCATTGGGCCAAATGGCTGTTGTTTGTCTACTGAGTTTAAGGGCATATGAATGAATGAAAACCTGGGGGAAGTCAGTTTACTCTTCTCCCCCAGTGCTCTGCCCTGTAGGTTTATTTTAGTACATTCTGAAACACAATATCTACAAAATATTATAAGTTAATAAATTATGTTGAATGACTCTCTAAGTTTTTGATTCTTACATCTGTTTGGGGATCAATATAATCTAGTAGTAAGAATATAGCCATGGCCCAGCTGGTGTGGCTCAGTGGTTGAGAGTCGACCCATAAGCCCAGGTTGCAGGCTCAATCCCCAGTAGGGGGCATGCAGGAGGCAGCTGATCTATGATTCTCTCCCATCAATCATGTTTCTATCTATTTCTCCTTCTCCCTCCCTCATTCTGAAATCATTTAAAAAACATATATTAAAAAAATATATGGGCATGAAGTCCAGTGGATTTTATTTGTCATCTTATATTAAATATATGTTGACTCTGTGACTTTGAGTATATACGTTAAGCTCTGGATATTTTAGTTTCTCATCTGTGACAGACAAACAATGTTTTACCTCACAAAATGGTTTTGAGGGTTAAATGAGATTATATATATAAATTTGTGTGTGTGTGTGTGTGTGTGTGTGTGTGCCAAGATCATAATTAGAGCTTGACATGTGGTACTTAATTATAGGGAATGTGAGCTTCATGATAACTCATGAGGAAGGAATTTGTATGACCCTTATTTTATCCGTGAGTAAGTTGAGGCTCAGAGGATTTATGTAATCTTACCCAACACCAAGATATGAATTAATGGAGAAGACTGTTTTGAGTTCAGTCATGGATAAGAATCAAAGAAATTATCCTAATAAGAGATTTTTGTAAGTTTTATTATTTCTATGAACTTTTGAACAGAATGAATACTGAAAAAAAGCCATTATATTTCAAGAAGAGGAGTCTTCACTGCAGTTTGAAAATGCAATTTGAACAAAGAAGGTTGGGAATGGAATCAATTGATGACCAGGGTAAAGTGGAAAGATAAGGCTACAATATTTTTTTTTAGATGTGTGATAGTAAAGGGGGGGAGGAGAATAGAAGAGGCAAGTGCTTCAGAAAGGTCTAAGCTAGACTGTGCATTCCTTAAAGTCAAAGGGAAGAAGAACTTTAAAATACATGATGGAGGGTGGTTTATTAGAGGAATTAGAAAAGCAGGAAATAAGATGAACAGCACAGATGGAAGCACCATTCCCTCTGATACAGAGACAGAGAAGACTAGATGAATCTAAAGAAGATATTTGAAAGGTTGAGGGAGAAGAATGTGGGGAAACCCATGGTAAGGTTGGGTCCAGCTTTTAAGTTCTGATGGTGACTCTGGCAGTGCAAGATTTGGGTTGGTCTGGAAGCTAGAGACGGATTGAAAAGGCTTGGCACAGACATCAATGGGAGCATGTCAGAGAGTCAACTGGGCTATAAAAATGAACGGCCACTAGAAAAAATAGGCACTAGATATTAGCAGGTCCTGGCAGTACCATGCTGAATACTTCTGTATGGTACTGAGTGAGAAATGGAAAAAAGGGATTTTGTGGACAGGAAGTGTGTACATCAGAGACTTGAGGGGGAGCCATAAAGACTGTGGTCGGCTTGGAAGAGAGTGAAGTGTTCAAGAAGATTCTGATGGATTATGCAAGGTGTGAGCAGTTAAGGGTTCAGAGGTCAAGGTTTGGGCTTTGTGTGAACTTAAGTAGGTGTGGGCAATATGAACTTGAACAATTGTGTATGGAGGCAGTGGCTAGTAGACCAAGTTTCAGATGAATTTCTCTGGGATGGGGCTAAGATAATGATCCACAGGGTGTATCTCAAGATAAAGCAGATGAAGAATGGGTGGAGACAAAGGTCTTTGGGTTTTAAAAGGTGAGGAAACGTGAGGTCAAATGATCAAGTGTGAACTGTTTTGTAGTTTGGCAGCTATTCACACACAGAGAACATTTTCAAGCTGCACATTGAGCCACAAAGTGTAGAGGGTCCTCTGGGAGTGAAAGATAAGCCTGTGAAGAAAAACAACAAACAAACAAAAAATCTCCATTTTATGCCAAGGAACGTTTATTTATTCCTCCTCATATTCCTGCAAGGGGCCAAAACGGGAGGCCTTGTCAGAGAGCACCACTACAACAGTGTTTCCACTCTAGGAAATGCAGGACAGAATGAAAAACATAAAAATAAAAACAAATGTATGAAATAAGAAGACAGTTTGAGAGTGTTGAATCCTTCATTTCTTTCCCAGTGGACTTGGGGTGCCACAGGGAAGAGAAAGGTGACCCATTAGAGGGTTAGACGCGTGTCAGAGAATTAAATTGGAGCATGGCTTGAATGAAGACTTCTGGGGTTAGTTAACTGGAGGGAAAACAGCACCACAGCTGGGCAGGAATCCAAGACCAGAAGAATGGCTGTTGTAGGAAATGAAAGTAATAATCTGAAAATCAACCATGTAATAAGCACTTACTATGTGGCAGAGCTCTGCTACACCTGCTGTGTGCATGATCTCATTTAAGGCTTACAATAATCTTATAAAATAAAGGTGGTGTTTGTCCTGTTATTGAAAGGCAGCAGTTGCTTAGAGAAGTGGATAGTTTAAAGTTAAGAGCCAATGCTTTTAGTAACTCTGATGTATTGTCTTCACATTTAACTTTAGAGATAGATTTGGAGTCACATTGAACATTGGAATAACAGGAGTGGACCTGGCAGAATCAGAGCCGTCAGGAAGGACAGCTGATATTTCCAATGAGCCAGAGGGTGTGAGCAGTGGGTCAGAGTGTGTGGCATTTTCATGGGTGAGTATCATCTGGAGAGAGGGATGGGGACAGGGGATGATTGAGAGTCAGGACACAAGGGTTCTTTCCCTGTCCCCTCAACGTCATCTATCAGAGGTGCAATGTGTGACAGTCCCTTCTCCATGTTGTGCTTCCTGCTTCCCAAACATCTAGTGAGATTAGCCTAGGTGGCTGCTTCAAGTTCTCCAATTAAAAATTAGTATTCTTGGACACTAACTTGTACAAATGATGAATAAAGCTGATTTGGGTTGAGTGGCAAGAAGTTGGAATTCCCCTATGTATTTAGGTTTTTATTTCCTAATTGCTGCACCAGCCCACCCCCAAACACCAGGCTCCTTCCTTTCTGGCGTCCAGCAGAGACTCCATTAAACACCCTGCAGGTGAGGCCTTCTGGTGACAGTTTTAAAATCCATGGTCCATATTTGGCTGCACTAGCTCTAGCTATTTGTCCTCTTTTCCCTCCCTTATGTGATGATGCCTTTACACTCCAGCTCTTTTCTTATCTTCTTGTTTTCAGTTTTTGATGTAGTCCCTACTGTGATCATGCCTCTGTGTGCACTAAGGCACGGTGACATTTGCATTTTGATCATGTGTCTAGCATGAGTTCATTCGGATTCTCTTGGGAAAAGACATTAGCACATTCAGGAATATTATGTTTTGATTCTACTCAATTTTCTTTGAATGATTGAGAGTAAATAGTACCAATCATGGAACTATTGAATTGAACAGTAATGATTTTTTTTCTATTGGTTCATGTTGCTCCTCAATGACCGCACACTATCTGGATCTAGACCACACACACACACACACACACACACACACACACACCTCCCCCCCATCTCTTATTAGTAAAATAATGTCTAATTTGCTCACTAGTGAAGGGAACACCTGTTGCCCCAGTCAGCCAACATTAGTGAATATATTAGTCTGCTAAGGCTGCCATAACAAAATACCAAATATTGGGTAATAGAAATTAATGTTCGGCCCCGCTGGCATGGCTCAGTGTTTGAGCATCTACTTATGAACCTGGAGGTCATGGTTCGATTCCTGTTAGGGCACATGCCCGGGTTGCGGGCCACATCCCCAGTGTGGGGTGTGCAGGAGACCGCCACTCAGTGATTCTCTCTCATCACTGATGTTTCAATCTCTCTCTCCCTTTCACTTCCTCTCTGAAATCAATAAAAATATGTTATAAAGTAAATATATTACTGTTCTCACAGTTCTGGGTGTTGGCAATGCTGGTTTTTCTTAAGGCCTCTCTCTTTGGCTTGTAGACAACTATCTTCTCACTGTGTCTTCACATGACCTTTGCTCCATGTGCAGAACCCCTAGTGTCTGTTAGTACTATTTGATAAGGGGACCACCTTTATGACTTCATTTAACCCCAATTATCCAAGTAAAGCCATGATTTCTAAACATAGCCACACTAGGAGTTAGGTCTTCAACACATGAATTGGGGGAGACACAATTCAATCTATAACATTCTAGCACAGCGGTTCTCAACTTGTGGGTTGCAAACAATGAAAATACATCCTGCATATAAGATATTTACATTATGATTCATAACAGTAGCAAAATTACAGTTATGAAGTAGCAAGGAAAATAATTTTATGGTTGGGGGTCACCACAACATGAGGAGCTGTATTAAAGGGTCGTGGAATTAGGAAAGTTGAGAACCACTGTTAGTGTCTGTACTCCCACCCCCAAATTCATATCTTTCTTACTTGCCGAGAATCATAGACCTTTAATCTTTAAGACACTGGTATCCCATGAAAAGTTAACTAGTATTTCCTGACTAAACGATT